TTGCTTAATTGTGCCAATTGTGTCGCTCTTAAGCTACTGAGTACACAAACTAATTTAAGTGTTCAAATCGATAAAGATAGATAGGTACTTATACAATAAACTTGTATTTATGTACAAACTGCAAGTCATGTATAATTTATTTTATTGTAATTGACATACTCTGAACATAATTATTTAAAACAGCCTACAAAAAACTTTTATTAATCATCTAGTCCAATTTTTAAAACTTAAAATAAATAAAATAATTGTTAATAAAATGTTATCAATACATAAGATAAATCTACTACCTAGTCATATTATAAGCATGAACATTTTCCGTAAAAAAAATAAAAATAATAAAAAATATTGACACATAATATTTATTTAATTTATCAGCTTAGAGTGTTTTAATATTAGCATAATACAACTTTACAACTTAGCTGATTAAAAAAGTGAATTAAATACAGTAAAAAATCTTGAATAACGATAGTCATAAATAATATTACATGTTATTCATGGTTGTGGATTATTACTATTTCAAATTTTAAGCAGAGAAATAAAATGCTGGTTAGAAAATAATAATTTGAAAAAATATTTAAACCTCACTGAATGACGGAAAATTTTACTATGTTCATTTTTGTAATGATTCGAAACTTACAAAAATAACAAGATACTAACACCAACCAACACAATGGTATGCCTATGTCCAACCACGAATGAAACAAATTTAAAAGATCACATCTCACGAGAATATATAGGTATGGTTTTTCTCTATTATTTGTTTTAAATAAGAGGTGCCAAAAACTAAGGACATTATAATATTTTTATGTTACACTGATAAATTCAGAAATCAGTTAAATTGTTTTGTGAACTATCTATTTCATAACACTACAATAAGCAATCGTGTTAGATATTCGAAGGGTTATATAAAATATAAAAACATTATTTGTGCATAAAACAATATTTACAGTTAAAACTAATAAACAGTACAATTAATGTTGCTATACCATACGCACATTACACACAACTTAAAAATAATATGAAATATATAATACAATATTGAGGGACGAAATATAATAGAAATATATTTATTTAATGGATAAACAATTATTCATTCAAGTACCATAAATAGAAAATGTAAAACGAATGATGATTGAACTGACCTAGTAATTATCATCTGTGAATAAAAAGGGTATATTTGAATATGAAACTTAATAACGTCTTATACCAATATTCGTCATATTTAAAATTGATTAATTTATTTTACATTTTTTTGGGGGGAGATAATATGACATAAATCCAAATTGTATAAAATAAACATTATCAATAATTTAGTAATAAAGAATGACAATATATAATGAAACTACATCCCAACCATAATATATACGTTTTCTAAAAAATCAATCCTTGACATTCTTATAAAAACTAGATGTTATATGTTAGTATAATGCAGCCTTTTTTAAAAATAGTGGATAAGTAAATATTCTTTGATTACTTTAAAAGTTTGACAATGTAGGTTAGGTTACGTTAGGTAAGGTTATAACAAAAATAAATAAATACATATGTTGATAATATTTTTAAATTCTTATGTTTTTAAAAAGTTATATTTATAAACATTCATTTAAATTTTGTAGAAAAAATAAAATGGGTATAATTTTAACAAATACAAATATGCAACATAACCTTAAAAATATGAACTAAAATAGAAGCGTACATTTATTTTAAACGTGACCAAAATATAAATAATATAATAAACTAACTTAAAATGCTGATTATTATAAAGTGTTGGTAAAATTATCATAATTCCTTTTTTTTTCTTTAATTCTGATTATTACTAAATAATTAATGGTCAGTTATGCTTAAAAAAATTGTCGTATGCCCGAAAACATGTGAATGGTCCACGGTAAGACGCTATTTTAAACAAATCTGCTGATGCCATGCACTAAATGTTTTTAATAATACTCAACAAATAGCAATTATAAAATATTTTAATTAAGAATTGTATAGAAACATGGTATCTATCCGAAAGAGTAAAGATACCTAGAGATAATATAATAGCAAATATAATTTACAGCAAATAAATTAAAGAAGCGAACTAGATACATCGGTGATAATACTATTATATATGAGTACACAGTTTACTAATTATTAGGAAATAGTTCATTCGGAACATTGATGTATACACAGCCCCTAAACCTAATAATGAAAGTCATGAAGTGTGATAAATCCACATCATAATCTTGTACGATAGTTGGTAAAATACGATCAATACAACCAAAAACAGAGATAAATCGAAAAACAAAAGTGTTCTATGTGACAGTATAGTGAGACTACTTCATGTGCAGAATGTGGGCTCAGATAAATTTTTTAGATCAATAATGAAACAAATAAATAGGATAATAATCAAATAATAATCAAATAATTAAAATGTATACCTTGATTGTAGTTAGATAAGAATTTGGTAATAAATCGAGATATGATAAAAATGCGATAGTTTTATCTAGATATGTTACATAGATAAATGTATCAAACATTTAAGTAAATTTAGCAATAGACACAATATTCGGAGTTCATCAAAAGGATTTCTGATTTGCCTTTTGAGTCCTACCTACAGTATTCTTCTTTTTCAAGGTTATTAGTGGCTATAGCCATACTTATATGTAAAATATACAACCTTTTTGAAAGAAGTGTAAACGACGTAAGAAATCGCATGACTTAAATAATTTAATCTCAGAAGATTCCCACAAACCTGGATCTCTCAAATACTAGTTAATATATTAAACCAGTGGCAAAGGTTAAAAAATCGCTTTGTTATATCCAAATAATTTTTATTAACTATTTGATTTTTAAAAACATAGTTAAAATATTTAAAAAAAACTCCAATATTAGTAAATTAGTATCTTTAATCATAATATATTATAATATATTATATTTTAACTGTAGATTTTCACTACATTAAAATATTATGTAAATCATTATGAATATTTTTGTATTATGAAAATAAGACTTTTTTTATATTTTTGCTTCGGATTTTGCTCTTTTTACTTTACCATTATTACTTCGCTATCATTAATTCCGACATTTTGGCATAGACCCATAAGACATACAGAGTACCAAAACAATTAAAATTTAATATCATAACCCTATAAATTGTATATATCGCAATTATTTTCACTTTAGATTTGTAAAATATTTAATATTTAACAAATAAATATATTTTATATTTTACTTCATAATTATTGTTATGTTATTGGTGCGGTTATATTAAATAACTAAATTTACCTTCTTACGATTCCTGTTTAATATTACCAACTATAAATTAAAAATAATTTTTGGATACATCATGGCGATTGTAAATGCTGTGTTTAATGTAAGTACTTAAAATATTTTATACATTAACATACAATATCTATTTTGTTCATCTTTGAACTTTGACCACGAAGTAATATCTGGACAGCTTACTTTTGATGAATGATATTTTATTAAAAGTACCAGATATATACCTAAGTGGTTTTGCTAACAATAAAAAAAACGAACGATATTAATTTCCGGGCTTCGAGTAGGAACATTGGTTAAAAATATGTACCAACATATTTTTATTTTGTAAGTATCGTAAATTCCCCGTCTTCAATAAAATTATTTATTTTATTAAAATAATTTATAACAAACACACAGTTATTAGTTTGATTATTCAATTGATTTATTGCACAAATAACAGTGGTGATTTTTTTATAAATTAATTATATATGCTGTCTCTTTAATTAGGTATAATATTTAATAATTGCAGAATGATAAATTGATAAGCAAACATTTTAATTACAGATAGGTAAAAAGGTGTTTGCTTACAACCTTACAAGTTTGTAATCCATTTTATTTATCAACATACATATTTTTATAATGTACAACTTTAGAAATATTTACAATACAGTTTTGTGATTATGATCCAATACATGGTACCTATAGCGCTAGAGTATAGCGCTAAACCATCAATTATTAAGGGAAAAATATTTTTCTTGTATATACTCTCTAGTGAGTGGACATTAAACATTTTGTTATTAGTTTCATGAAAGTGTGGGATTTTTTAAAATTTTTTTGGTGCATGTGTAAGTTGTTTCTCATACAGTTATTCATCAACAAAATCAATGCAAGTTAATCATCACTGTTGACAAAACTAATTTTGTTTAAAGTGCAATACAAGAACTGGTTGGGCTATTCGGAAAGAAAGGTTACAAATTATTGCATTTGAAAAACGATCTTAAAAAAGCTTTGTTTAATCAAAATTGGTCAAAAATTAATTTATTTTTTTTAATTCAATAAATTTTCAATTTCTAATATGTAACAGTGTTAAATTAAGTTTTAAGGGTTTTCTTTTTTTTACTACTATTTTTTGAAAGAAAACTTAATTACTGTTGAACTACTTGGAATTCAAAAAATGATTATATTTAATTTAAATTAAAACATGATAAAGTGAAAATAATTAATGGCTTATTATAAACAATATAATCAAAATCATATTCTTAAGTATATTAGATTATATTACATTATAATTTTGCTACACAGTCACACAGACATAGTATATTTAGTAATTCTTTTAAATATAATAGATATTACAAGAAAAAAAGAGTTCATAGAGAGTCGGTTATGCAGTGTTAGAAATTATTATTACGGGTCTTATATTCTATAACTTTATAAGGATCCTTTAAATATCGCTTTGTCGTATAGCTTACAATATGCGTTAGATGATTTACCTAATAGCTTATAATATACCATTTACATGTCATCGACTAGGTATAAAAATCTACAAGTAAATATGTGATACCAACAAAAAATGTTTCTAGGACAATTACAGAGTGTACATTTTTTGAATTCAATTCAAACGCGCTTTCTCGGATCTTTAAAAAAAATAATCCATTTATTTCATTCCATTCCTAAACTTACACATGATTTTCATAGTTTTTTTTTTTTTTTTATGAATCATTTTTGTATTAATCACTATCGCTGTAGTGTTGTGGCAAACATACCTTTTTGCTCGTCGCTTTGGAATTCCTCGGGACCGCGGTAAGTGCTTCAGCACTCTGAGTGCCTGTTGCGTCAGCAACGACTGCGATGGGACGAGAACTATAACCGACGATAATACGTATACTTTGGTGTACTCGGATGGGACGCGTGCGTGACTTTCGGTAGCGTCAATCTAGCCCCGATGTAGAGCGTGTCGAAATGCCGGTAACCGACTGCGCGCGAACCGTCCAGACCGATGTGCCGCCGTCGTGGGTTTCCGTCGCTAGCGCCATCCACCGCGAGCAGCGATTGGCACGCCGCGAACCGATCACTGGCCAGTGGTCACACCGCCAAAGACGATCAAAAATTAATTGATAGATAATAAAACTAATTTCACGTGACGACCGAGAAACTTCGGATTGTATCCTGTGGTTTCCTCGGCATCGGCGTGGGCCTAATATATACCATTTTCAAAAATATAACATGTATATATTTTTTTTAATTTACCCTCATAATGTATATTTTACAGTTCATCGCCCACCAACCACCACCCACAACCCGTCAACCGTATTATATATTATGATAAGTCATTATAAATTATAATACACCCATTCCGTCTAGCAATTATGTGTTTACGTCGTAATGCGTATACAATATACAGGTACTCGATTATAACGATGGGTGGTATAGACATGACCGTACTCAGGGAGGCGATGGGTTGTCGGTTCCAAAATATTTTCTACCGCAAAATGTATTTTGTTAGAGTGTCTTAATCTTATGTCAACATAAAAAATCTACACGTAAGTCATCTTGTCTTAAATACTCAGTTATAATTATTACGCTAAAAATATGGCCATGCATGCACATATTATATATTATTATCTGACCACATTATTCTATGTACAGCAAACTTTGGCTTACAGATATATTCTTTTTTAGTCTTAAGAGCAGCCTAAAATTATTATGAACCATGATTATGAATTATGATGAAAATAAACGATAAGCCTGCTTAATGTTTGGTACAATTTTAAACTTATTTTTAATGTTCGTTCAGTCACCTTGTATTTAAATACAACTTTAAAATAAGGTGATAAATCTTCTTCTTTACCCAAACAATAATTTATGGGTAGTATTATTATGAGTTTAACAAATTAAAATTTTTTCCATTTTCCTTTGCTAGGAATGTGCTAAAAACATATATTTATAGGTATAAATGCTTTAATAATTACGTGCTTACGAACTTAGTGTCTTTCATAAGTTTATATCAAGTTTGTACTTTATCAAGATAGCTTTGTGCATATTTTTAATATGTCCGTTACTATCATTACACATGACAAAATAATTATTACCAATATAGTAAATTTCAAATATCAGTTGTTCACAATTGTTGATCACTTTAGTAAATTAATATCACTTATTACGAAACGGGCTTTATTGTTCTAGTTTTCAGTACTTTTATTTACTCTACAACAGATTATTTTCATTTTACATCAGCATTTTTTTGTACCATATTTTTATCAACCCTGATAGGTCCACAATAAATTCATAAATTCATAAACAATAACTAACGATCTTACACATTTTCTAGTGGTTTTGATAATTTGTACTTATGAAAAACAAATTAATAAATCACATAAAAAATACAACTATACTAAATATATTTGAAAATTACCTATTAATTTGGTTGAAATAGAATATCACATAACTTTAATTATCAACACTTAATTATTGATGTACCAGACTGACATGCAATATACAATAAAATCTATTCTAATATGTCAAATAAATAGTTATTACTTGATCAATATTTTGGGTTTACTTGAAATATTATTATAATATTGACTCAGATAAACACTCTTTACATTAGACGAGTTTTTTGGTTTTATACAAGAAAATGAATAAAGCAATTCACAAGATTTATATCGTATTGTTATTGTTATGACAAAGATTATAGACTTTCTTAATAGGAACGAACCATCTTTAGAAACTATACTATTTTTAATTTATAGTCATATAGCTCTAGTAAATTTCGAAGATAATGAAGATGGATTAAAACAAACTGTCGAATCTGATCTACGATATAATAATATTTATAGTGGATTAAACAAAAATCTTCTACCGCTTAATATGTTATATAAATCCAGTATGCATGCCAATGCCACTAATCGCTCAGCTTCCTATTGGATACAATTGCATAGACCATAAATGTGATGTGATATTATGACCAGTTTCAATAGTCAACAAATTAAAATGGTATTTGTATTCAAATATTTAGGAGTGATAATAGATTTTAATCTAAAATCCTCATGAAATATTATACAAAAAATATATATAATATAAAATGAGGACATTAATGTTGTTCTATTTTACAAAATTTGTTTTTTAAATACATCATTTATAAAATAATTTTAAACGATTAAGCAAATTCTAATAAGATCCATACACATTCTTGATATTAAATAATTAATAGATCAGAGAATAGGCAAGTACATAAGACTATCTTTTACAGCACTTATGATTAGTTAAAGTTCCCTGGCCACATGGAAAAAGCAATATTTAATAATCTAGGATGGCGCTTGTATTAGCTCTGATTACTATAACTTACACTAATTTAATATATTATTGAATAAAATATGATGAAATAAATAAACAATTACTATAATATTATTCGACTGGTCATATTCTGACAGCAATGATATTATAAACCTATAATACCTATAACATAATAATATTATTATGTACTGTACTTTTAATATTTCATAGTATAAACAATATAGGTAGCATTGAACAAAATTCACCTTGATTTTTGAGATTTACCGGTAGATAGATACTCATCTGGAGTAGGTACTCAATTTGATCTGACTACTACTACGTCGTGGTCGTACATACCGGATGTCCACACAAAAGCCGGAAATCCACAATGGCCAACGCACGCTGGAAATAAGTATCACGTCAAATGTATTTCGGTATGTTAGAGTTTGAAGGTAGGTATACCGATAGACATTTTTATTATTATTGAACCACACATAAAAAAAAATCGAATTCTGAAATACGAAAAACAGTAGACGCAGGACCTCGGAAACTGAACAGAATGATTAATGCATCTCTGTAACACTCCTGATGACGTTAAAAAATGATCAATTGTTTTTTTTTACGACATGCGTGTATACAATATAGGTACATATCATATGTAGTTGTGATGTTCCCTGAAAAGAGCCGTCTGAAAATCCAGTAAGAGCATTGAAAAATTACAAAATATTATACGATCACTGTTGACAGTGTAGCTGATATACAAGACACTTGATAACCCACACACTATGTAGTAACTGTTTATCGGCACATACGTACTAATAGTCCCGTTTAATAATTTGAATGCTAACAAGTAACAACTTCTTAAGAATTTATTATGAAATATTAGGTATATAATACCTATACAATTAACGAGTATGAAAATGTTAATAATATGATATTATTTATGAGTTGTAAATAATTGTTACCAAACTTTTTTAATATAATACAAAACTGTGTATCAATAGTGGTATAATATAAATTATAAAAATATTTAATACCACGAATAACATTTTGTTAGCTTCTTCCTGATTTTAAAACTACTAAATATATTATAATATTTAATATGACTAATGCTTCAATTTCGATCAGCTTATCTTGATTAAGTTCATAATAATAATATAGCGTTTATAGTTACATAAATAAACCTGGACCAGATATAAAATAAGGCATTAACATAATATTAGCATGTATAAATGGAATTTAAAAAATATATATATTATCTTTATTTATTGTCAAATAATAATACATAATAGGTATAGGTATTAATAAAAAGTATTATGTAAACATCAAACATTATATTATGATAACTTAAATAATAGTTTCTATACTTGTCTAATTGTCTTTAATACAATATTTGAAAATACATTATGTTAAAAGAAAAGTTATAACGTTATTCATATTTTGTATATTTTTATACTTTTGGACAGCAAATCATTGTGTGTTTTACCATTTAATGTAAATATTATTTATACTTTATACTTAATATATTTACTTTCTGCCGATCACGTAATGCATTTTTTTATTGAAAAAAAATAAAAATATCTGTACTTTAGAGGTAACTGATTGAGTATTTTATTTTTTAAATTACTCAGAAACATAAAATCGATGAACAGTGGAGGTAAACAGTGCACACGTGTATTTTAAAAGTATTTTACCATACCAATGTCAAGCGTGTAAAAACCCTCCAAAGTTAAATAGTAAAATAAAAGTTATGTTCAAAGAATAAAAACTAAACAGTAATGTTTAGCATTTTTTAAGATCAAAAAATAGACGACCAGCAAAATAAAAAAAAGTTCACCAGCATTTATTTCCGATACAGACGAACGAAACACATTTATTTTAAAAAATGTTTTATTTATTTTAGATTATAAGGACCATTATGAATTCATTGATTACAGTGGTGTGTTTTTTATTAGTTGTACCATATAATATTATATATTATTGTATATTGTGAAAAAATAGATATTTCAGCTAGATAACAATGATCTAGCAATAACATACCTTCAGACAGTAAGCCAGGGATTCTGGGATTACAGAGGTCATGCATTTCCAATTTAGTGAATTCGGCACCTATGGCGTATTACAAGGTTCAATATTTATCTGATGGTTTTGATGTCAGCATAATTTTAAGATTCAAACGAATAATATTTAGAACTATGATCATACGTAAAAAAAAACGTTTATGCGAAATGCTCAAAATGCATTACATCTCAATAATGGTATACAACATTGACAAATTATTAGCCGATATCAATTTATTAAAATATTATGATGCTCATAAAGTCATAAGTTATAGATCATTTTTAACACTTTAAGTCCTTTTTAAAAATAAATTAATATTATTTTAATATTGTTTCATGTCTCCAGGCACCAGGTATTATAATAGTTAATAAATATAAATCATAACTTAACAATTTAAACAACAAAAGTGTATTTATTTTAAGTACCAATAATATAAAACGTCTGAACTAAATTTTACACTTCTTGTTTTTCCCTATATATGGAACACATGAGTAAACAATAACATTGGCTATCATTCAATATATTCCTCATTCTACGAACAACAAACATTTGTTATTATTATACTGCTGAAAAATAAATCGACTACATTGGAATTTTCAGTTAAGTAATAAGCTACTAATGAATTTT